CCAGACGAGCGCGCTACCGCTTGAGCCACATCCCCAGCCCAGGAGAGAGTTTTTTATAGCCAACATTTAATGTGGTCTTTAGGTCTGCAAGCTGACTTGTTGGCCTACATTGATTGGATCATATAGTAGTTCCTTCTGCCCTCAGGGAGACTGGGCAGGGGCCAGATGTGGGTTTCCCATGGCTCCAGACCCAGACCGGTGGGGGGTTGAGTGTTAGACCTTGAGTGGGGTTGAGTGCTCAGCCTTGAGGCAAATAAGCCATAAGGTGAGCCCATCCTGCAGCTAAACATTTGTTCAGCCTGCTTCACAACTAACAACAGGGACTCACTCTCTTGCCCAGGCTGGTATCAAATTCCTGGGCTCAAGAGATTCTCCTGCCTCAGCCTCTTGAGTAGCTGGGGCTACAGGCACAGGCCACTGCACCCAACTTTTATTTATTTATTTATTTAGGTTACTGAGAATTGGACTCAAGGGCACTTGATCATTGAGCCATATACCTATCTTGTATTTTATTTAGATACAGGGTCTCACTGAGTTGCTTAGTGCCTCGCTGTTATTGAGGCTGACTTTGAACTCATGATCCTCCTGTCTCAGCCTCTGAGCCACTGGGATTACAGGTGTGAGCCACTCAGCCTAGCAAATTTGGGCCTAATTTTTAATTCCTCACTTATCAAGTGATAAAAAATGTTTGCAGAAGGCTTCATTACCTACTCAACTGGTCACAAGGCCCCTGGGGGACCCTGCACCAGTCTTCTGGCTTTGGTTCCCTCACTTCCTTGCCACACTTGCCAGGTTGGACCAACTCCTACAGCTAACACGCCTAGGCTTTGGCAACTCATGCCTTCCTCCCTTCCCTTTCTCACTGTGACAGCAGTCAAGTGCTTATCTTCCCTTTGTTGTCTCTTCCTTTATCCAAGGATGCTTCTGGAAGGTGTTTKCAGACTTTGGTGGGAGAGAGAGATGAAATAATGCAGACCGGCTGGTTTGAAGCAAAAGCTCCACACCTGTTTGCTAAGTCATTTCAGCCTTGGTGCTGTTCCAGAGCTGGAACCTTCCAAGAAACTGAGACAACATGAAGACCTCCTTCAAACCCCAATTCTTGTGATCAGGTCAGAAAGATTTCAGACATGTGGCTCAGAATAATATGAATGAATTTATTGAAGGGATAGGAAAAGGGAAAGAGGATCCTCTTAAGGGAGAATGAGTCCTCTCATAGAGTGACATCTTTCCTGTACTCGCTTTATTGGGCATCCCAGAGAAGTTTCCAAATCCTGCCCAGGTCCACCTCTTGAGTTTTGACTGACAGTAGGATGATATCAGACTTTCAATTCCCCACTGCCTTGAAAACTCTAGGTCAACTTGGCCCATGCTGATCGGTTCTAATTTTTTTTTTTTTATACTGGTGATTGAACCCAAGGGCAATTTATCACCAAACCACATTCCCAGTCCTTTCTATTTTTAGACAGGGTTCTGTCTTGCATAAAGCTGGCTTTTTT